ATGTTAAATGAAATATTTTTCATAAAGCATATTCAAATTGTCCTATTCCTATTCATAGGAATATTTCCTTAAAGAATATGGGGTGCAATGTCACAATACCTTACCTTAACAGTTGTTTTAATCCTCTTCTTTCACAGACTGAAAAGCCAACCAGACTGGGTCCAATTCTTAATGTTCAGTTGCAGTTGTTTCCAGCAGACATCTCAGATGGTAAACAGTAGTGTTCAGGATGGTGGCCACACTGCTAGGTGCTCCTAACTTAAATAACTACTTAAATAAGTTGTGCAGAAGGCAGAAAGGCTTTGTTTGTTGGCAGGCCACTCCACTACCATATCAGGTGACCTAAACACACTTCCTTCTGGAGGTTCAGACCCTTCATGTGAGCTGGCTAATAGGAAAAACAAACCTATTTACAGATTCCTGTCTTTATCAATAAGCCATTAAATTTCTGAAGTATCCTTAGTGTCCCTCATTTAACAAGTGTATACTGCATTTAAGTGTAACTTTTAAAGACAAAATCCGACTTCAATACAAAAATTACAAGTGATGGAGAATCCATTGGAACCACTGGTCACAATGGTTATCTACTCTGAGGTCCATGTGTGCCTGTTTCAGGGAAGACTGTCAAAAGCAGGGGAGATGCCCCAAACTGGCAGTCTGTTTTAGAATTGGATTTCACCAGCCAGAACTAAACATGAACTCCCAGAGTACTACAATAATCCTATAATAGAGTCACTGAAAGTTCCTAGAGATACTCCACTCTGTCTTGCCACTAAGGCAAGTTGGACTATGTAATAAATGGCTCGTTACATCAAAAATCTCCACCAGTCCCAATACACTAATGAATCACACAGGTTCATTTGCATCCTAGATCTCACATGAAAGGCAATGCTAGTAGCCAATTTTATAGTGAGCTAGCTACAAAAATGAAATGTTATGGAGTGGTTGAAGATGGTAAAAATGTATGTACAGGTGAGTTAGTTTATAATTTCAAAAGGGAGCAGAGATGTAGTAATCTACCTGTTACCCACAGTTCTTTTAGGGCTACCTAGCATAACTCTGGGGATTTTCATCTTCTTAATCAGTAATTCTGTTTTGTTAAAATCCAAACAGTCCAGAGGACTGGGGAGGGAGGGGAGAGGGGAGGGGAGGAGAGGAGAGAGAACACACGAAGAGTTCCCACACAGGTCTCCTCTTCATGGAGTGCTGGAGGAGGGAGAGGGACACACTTAACAAAGTCTCTGATCCTTGATCTCTCGCAATGTCTCATTTGCATTTCATGATTTAACCATCACCTTGTAAGTGGCCATAATTTGCAGTACACAAGGGTTCTTTCTCATTTGATGGGTTACTTAATTACAGGGATTATATAGTGCAAATATTTGCTGTTACAGTATAGGGTATACTGGAGTCAGGCCCATGGATTCAGGGGGAAGGGGCAGTTGCCCTGGTATCCAGCAATTTAAAGAGACCCAGGGTTTCCAGCTGCTGCTACTGCTACTATGGTAGTGGTGGCAGCAGTCAGAGCCCCAGATATTTTAGTCAAGCTTGATTCAACCATTGTCTCTCAAAACACTTTATCGACCATTGCTACCACTGGTGTCATTTCATTAGCAGTTGCAAGAGTGGGAGTGCCAATATCTGATGGTGGCATTGTTATTGTTTCATCGGGACCTGTTCTGAGCATGGCTAAAGAAGACTAAGGTACAAAATGGCAGTGTTCTTTCTAAGCTAGTAGAAATTTGCTACCAAGGATGGGGTTGTACCAATGGTAGCAAGAGTAAAAAGTTTTAAGGAAGTGTGTCTCAGGTATGTAATGGGCTCTAAGCAGAGGTTCTAAGAAGTTCTTCTCATCTATTCTTTATCAACCTACCAGTTGGAGGTCTTGGCCTCACAGAGAGTCAGGCCTAATGATACAGTGGGCATTCTTTCAGTCTATCAACCACAATATAACCTATGTGCTGCTCTGGCATTTGACTTGGAATAAGTACTGAAAGTTTCAGGCATGAGTTCATAGTTTTTCCATAGTCTTGGGGGAGAGGGAAGATAAGTGTGTGTGTGGAAAGTTAAGGTACAAGCACTACCTTTTCCCTATCCTAGAGAGCGGGGGAAATCTGATCGGGCTAACCCAGAAGAAAAAAGTATTTAAAGGGTTCTCTCACATATACTGCAACCAGGGCTGTAATTCTCCGCTGGGCTTTGCAACTGGTGTTGAAGACAGCACCCATGTGTTCAATGTATGGTGAATGAGCTAACTAAATTAAAGCTAGAATTGGGTATGTCTATGTGAACTGTAAATTACACCCTGACTTCATGTAGGCATAGACGTAGTGTTGTGCTCTTTGATGTTTGTTCATAGGTGGCAAGACATCACTGGTAATGCCTGTGCAAATGCTCATCAAAAAGAGAGGAGTGGTGTCAACATACAAGAACAGAATATTTGAAAAAGAGTGAGAGAAGAAACATTGTTCAGTGAAATTGCCCCCTCACATTCCAAGCAATAGTGCTTCATAGAGGGCACTATGAAAGGACTGTGAAGCATAATGGAATTTCCCTACCAAACTGTAGGAGAAATGAGCACTGTAAACTTACATGTTGCTATTGTATTTCCATAAACTGGCATATCGGTAGCTACCTCTATGCAACCTTTGTCCAGACAATGGTGACCATAGATTTTTGGTATTCTAGCCTCTCCTACAACCCAACCCAAACCATGTGTATGTAGCCCTGATATCTTTAAAGTCCATAGTGCTATCTTCATTGATTTCAGTAGGAATTGGATTAAATCTTTTGGTGGCCTTATGGGCATGGCAAACAGTCCAACATGTAGTCACTCTTATTGCTGCTGCTTTTCCTCTTATTTTTCTGTGTTCAGTATTATTTTTCCTCAAGTTACCCTTTGATGATGAACATACTCATTTCCTTTTTAAAATGGCTAATTGTAAAGAACACAGTTTTTAGCAATACGAATCTTAGATAACTGCTAAACTAAAAGCTTGCTTTTAAAAATGAAATGAGAGATGCAATTATGCTTATCCAGGAAATATAACTGTATGTGCACACTCAACAAAACTTGGAACCTAGTCCAGTGAGTGCTCCATGTTCACTTTCCTTTGTTAGCAAATTGAAATACCTTTAGCTACATGAATGGAAAATCAATTTATAAGATGCTTTTATAGATTGTACAAATGAAACTTCACTTACACTTAGTCCTGTTGCTGTGTTACAAAAATGTTGATGCGTTCTTAAAAAAGAGGCAAATTTGCTTACATGCTGGAAAAAATCTTTTCTATTTTAAAAATCTGTGCAATCTGTTTTTCCGTAGGAGAGGATAAATATTTTCAGATAACCATACTGTTCATTTTAAAATGTGCACTAAAAAAGTTGTATCTAGGTTAAAAAGTTTTCTACTAGAGGATTAAAATAATATTAAAGTGATTATACAAACTGATTGCTGTAAATTGGTAGCTTTGTTATCATGTCTTAGGGACAAATGAGTGAAGAAAAGAGAAGTTACTCGGGTCAATTTTTTGTTGCTAAAACAATTTGAAAAACTTTGAATATTCACTGGTCACCATTTAAAGTAGTTACCACACAGTAATAATTACAATAAGTTTCCACTCTGTTTAGAATAAGAGATAGGTATAGTAGCTGTGTGGTAAGTTGGCAGCTATTGACTTCTAAATGGATTCTAATGAATAACCTTTAGAAAAACACAAATTAAACTGAAAATGTTTGTTTGTAAATCAATGTTATAACCTGAAGTAATAATTAATATTCATAGTAATTCTCTCAATAAAATATTTACACTTGTGAAAAGACATGATGTAAGAAAACAAACGCCTATGAAATTCACATGCCTAGAAGTTTGAGTCCTAACCTAAATTGTATTCTTTATTGTGACTTACCAGTCATGTTGTCATGTATTTTTACTTACTCATATGGATTTCAATCTGGGGTGAGCAAACAATAATGCAGAATATTTTATCTAAATTACTGAAGATGCCTGCCAGAAATAGAGAAATGTGTGAACAGAAGGCACAGAACTACAAATAAAAGGAATGGAAAAGAGAACAATTCAGATGCAGTTACCCTAGAGAGTATTGGTGGCTTAGCTTTTCCATCCTAAAGAAAATGATATTAACAATATCAAACAGTACCACCTCTCTCACAGCCCTTTAAAAACAAACAAAACTATTCCATGTACATCTTTCCATAACTAGAATTGGGAGAAGAGCTAGATACTCCATGTAGTTCTTTAGGGAATATAATCTGTTTCACCTGGAAGTTGCTTTACTACTGTATATAAATGCAGTTGTGAATTCACTGTTTTGAAACAGTGGTAAGTGGTACCAATAAGTGGTAAAAGATTAGTGTGGAAATCCAGAGATATTGGCTGTAACACTTTTCATTTAATAGCTGAAGTTATACTTGCATTAGTCTTTGTATGAAGAACATCTAGTAACATAAATTTTAGTTGTCTCCCAGTTTTGCCTGTTTCGGTCAAGAAATAATTCTGTAATTCTTCTTTCTTGGCTAATAAAGGGACCTTTCATATTCTGATTTTCATATGATATCCCAAAAATACTTTGAGTGACTGTGTGAGTAGAATATCCTTTTAAAGAGAAATAATTGTTAGAATGCAAATCCTCTACTGGTTGCTTAGACGGATTTACCACGGAAGCCAGATAACCTAGTTTCTGAGTTTTATATCTGCATTACACTATTGTACCTTCATTTTTTTTCCAAATGTACAGAGTTATATTTGTAAAATCTTTGTTATTGAGTATTTGAATAAAAAAGGACCCATTAGATACTGAGTGTTAGTTTGATGGCAGGTAAAGTATAAGTAGTTAAATACAGAATTAATGATATGATTGATTATAAAATTAAAGAGACTGGATATACTGAGTCATTTCACCCTAGAAAAGTTGTTGTATATACTGAGCCATTGTTCTCTTCTGTGTTCTTATACATCTCCTTTACTCCCCCCTTCTCAGCTGTAAGCACAAGGTATACTTGGAAAAGCTGCCAAATACTAGCATAATTATCCCATTTCATAATGAAGGATGGACTTCACTCTTGCGAACTATACACAGCATTATCAACCGGACTCCAGACATCCTTATAGCTGAAATCATACTCGTGGATGACTTTAGTGACAGAGGTAAGATCTAGTGGCTTAAGTTTGGTTTGGAACTTACAACTCCATGTGATCATGTAGAAATTAAAGGGAGGGGAAAATATAAAGAAACAAAGCCTTTTTGACTGGTTGTATCCAAAATAGATTTTTTTACTTTTTAGTTTGCTCTTATATTGGGCACTGCTTGTTTAGTCAGTTTTTCATGGTTCGCTTTTGTGTTATGGATGAAGGCTGAAATATATTTTATGTCAAGAAAACCATAAAATCTCTCATGCCTTTTCACTAATGAAATGTTTGAATTGGTGTGCCTTTCTGAAATGTTGCAAATTGCTAATGTTGAAAGCCTCTTTCTTCCCAGGCTTTATGCTTCCCAGTAAAAACCTGTTAACTTGCACCTTTTGGATGTAACTTGACAGATTTTCTTACCTTGTGTTTTATTGCATGAGGCAGCTCCATTTAACTCTACAAAATAGCCATACCGAAGCATAGCAATGTTATAATTTATTCATATATTAGTCTTTTGACTGGAAAGGGAAAATGGCTTCAGAATATGGGAGTTGAAATTTCTAGATGTCTGAATACTGTAAAACTAAAAACAAAACTTTTTTTTTTTTTGCTTTTATGTTGAAGCCTTGAGCCTCTGAGTTGCTGCAAGTGTTACCACCCATATTTAGTTCTTGAATTCAGTAACATAAAGTCTCTTCTTTTCTTGGACAAATCCAACAATGGCAGTTGGATAAAAATAAATCCAATAATTGTTTTGAAATGTACTTTTTTTTTTACTCTAAATCTTATAAATGCTTTTGGTATTTGTATTAATTGCCAAAAGCCATCAGTGGACACTTGATGTAGGTGTATCTTTTTTTGAACTGAAACCCGCCAAAGCAATTTCTCATCTCTGAATGGGCTGATCTGTGGTGTAAAGGGGAAACTGCATTCTTAGGCAGGAGCTGAAACCCGCCAAAGCAATTGCTCATCTCTGAATGGGTTGATCTGTGGTGTAAAGGGGAAACTGCATTCTTAGGCAGTTTTCTAGGTAATTAGCTTTTGTCTCAGTATGGAATTTATCAGAGCAAATTCCTGAACGACAGGTATTCCAGCAGGAAGCCTTTAGGTGTCTAAGAAAAATGTTTGTGGAGCACTACTGTGGCAGAGCATTTCTCAACAAGATTTTAATTTGACAATAATATTTTAAAGGGGAGAATGGTGACACATGCATCTATCTTTGCTTCTCATCACTGTCATCTCTGTTGCCATATGGATTTTGATGAACTGTCCTTCTACATATAATGAGGTTTTACTGCAATCAAAAAGTAAGCAAGTGTAATACTGGCTGCTCCCTGCTGGATAGATTCTGTACTATGACCAGACTTTTCTGGGACAAGTAGTACAATTGCAATTTTTCAGCACACTACAGATTTTCCAGTAGTAAACAATTTGTGGTGATATTTGTTAAGAGGAGTCTTAATGGTTGTCTGAAATAATAGCTGAAATTTTAAAAGATTAATTTTACTTCAAAAGAATGCTGTAACTTGAGAACTTGTTGCCTCATAAATACTTTTAACCACATGTGTGTTCAGTATATGGTGGTAAATCGTTGGTGATATGTGAAGGTTTTTACTGTTACTGAGGTAGCCTTTATAATATTAAAAGTTATTGGTCTGGAAGTTTTAAATGTATCCTCCCAATTACTAGATCATCAGCTACAATTACTCAAGGAATCTAGTCTCTCTCTCAGCAATTCTCAGCATATTAGTTTGTTTCTAGTGAAGACCCTCTGCCTGCTAAGCAGGATCTCTCTAGCAGCATGAAATGCGACATGTATTCACACAAATTATTTTCAATCTTCAGAGTAAATTTTGAATTAGCAGCATGAAATGTGACATTTATTCACACAAATTATTTTCAATCTTCAGAGTAAATTTTGAAAACATTGTGGGCAGTTTTAGTCAAACTCTTTGGGAGTATCATAGTTCAAAATTGAACTTTGAGAAGGCTTTGAGAGTCTTAACCTCTTAGAACAAGTCATTTGTCGATAATACAAGATAAACATAAGACTTCTGAGAGTACAAGACACTAACCCACTGAAAAGTGAAAGCTAGTTGAAAGAAATTACTTTGCTAATTTCTACACCTAACTCAAAGATTCTTGACACCAACTTAATAATAATTAAAAAAAAAAACCCTTCCAGTGGAAAATGCTACACTTGAAAACGCTTCCAGTTGTGCTCTCTAGCTTAGTCGTCCAAAGTTGTGTAGTACAGTTGAATTAGTTTGGTTTGCACTTCTGTTGCCTGATCTTTACTGACTTTTTTGAATTAATGGAATGATTCAGAGTAATGTGTAAAAACCTTATTTGTAATTCGTGACATCCATTCTTTTTTTCCTGTATGGGACTTCTTTGGAAGACCAGGAAAGGAAGCAAAGCAAGCACATATCAAAGAGTGTAGGTGCTAATGCATCTCTTAGGTACATGTGTGAAATTGTTATTGAAAATTGCTGCTACAGGCTGAAACTCTCCAATCTGGCACCCTCAGGACCTGTCTGGTCCCAAACTACAAAATTTGCCAGACCCAGGCAGAGGTCAATGCCAGCTTCTCTGCTGTTGCACAGCTCCACTTAACAGCAACAGAAGGGATATTCATAGAGTGGAGACTGGGGAAACACTTGAGGGAAGAGGCAGAACAGGCTGCGGAGCCCTGTGGCCGGAGGCCAGGAGGGAGCCCCACTGGAATACACTGCAGTTGCCAAGTTGCGCTCATAGCCCCTGCTGCTGGCTGCAGGGCTGCACTCCTGGCTGCTGACCATTGGGCTCTACAGGTGCTCTGCCTCTACTCTCAAGTGTCTCCTTCACCCATCCCCGACCCTTCCTGACCTTGAATGCCACTAAAGAGCTACTTGTGGCACCCCAGAAGCTCTGAAAGGATGGTGGAGGAGTTGCTGAGTGCGGTGCTGGGCTTTTCCCCATGACTGCTCTAGCCCGGGCGCCCATGGAGATGCCGGATCACAGATGTTACTGGATCAGGGAAGTCTGGAAATGGAGGCCCAACCTATGCCACTGTCCTTTTTCCTAATAGGTGTCACATTGTGGGTGCCTGATATATCCCTTTGTTAAGGAGACAGTTATATTGTTTAAATGTTACATTTGTGCCATCACTATTCAACTGAAAAGCATGGAAAGAAATTTCCTACTATGAATTAGTGCAGTTTTCCATTAAAGCTTTTACATAAGCATGGGACTAGGTTCATTTAAACTGTATTTATTCCTTCCAGATTATTTTAAAACAGATGCTAGGTGCCTAGCTTTCCCTCATAGGCCTTTTTGTTAATCAAACTCTTTTTCAAAACATTGTTGAGGAGAGATTATTAAGAGACAAGCTAGTTGGAAATATAATGATTTAGAAAGCTGGAGATCACTTACATTGAAAGGATTGTAAAAATAGAAGAAGGAATGTCATTCATTTTCCTTTTTTATATTCTTACCTAATGCTAACACTGAAGTGCGAGTCCTAGATGACATACAACAAAAATGTTTTAGTGCACATCATATCACTGAGCATTTGGCAAGACTTGTTATGAAAAGTTGCTTGTGTGACTTGATTTTTATTCACATTTATTCCTTCAGCTTTAGCTATCAATACCAAAACCTTTGCATTGTTCATGCACAACATCAGCCATAAATTATGATGTTTAGTTATTATAATATGGGAATGACTACACCTTTTAAATCTTGATATAACCAAAACTAGAGAGATGGTATAACCAAAAGGAAGCTAAACAAATGTTATAAAATATAGCCATGCAATAATTATTTATGAAGAAATTCAGTGCTTGATGATGATGTATACCAAAATATGGATTTCTATCATAAGGTATAGTATCTTAAAAATACTTTTTTTTCCGTGTTTCCTATACATCTCAAGAAATAAGATTTATTGAAGTGTTTAGTCAAAATAGTTCTTTTGTCTGGTTGTCTTAACAACAATGGGGTAAAAAATGGATGTGAAACTTGAATTGAGCCATAGTGTTTTATATGATCATAAACAAAAAAATGGAAAACACTAGTTTGTCAGGGTCAAAGAGAAATTAGCCTGGAGCTTACAAGAACTTAGTAAAGAGCCGAGGGGAAAGAAATCTGAAATACAGATCCAAAACATAAAAAAGAATATACTGTGGTTTACCAAGTTATATAAAATATATGGGTATTTTACCTCTATGACATGATTTGTTTGGAAAGATAATATTTGGGGGCTAATAATACTAAACTACAGCAGACTTCTAGAATCAGGGACGCTCTTATGCTCTCCTAATGAACTGAAGTCTGTACAGGCAGTCCCCGACTTACGCAGATCCGACTTATGTCGGATCCGCACTTACGAACGGGGCTTTCTCGCCCCAGAGGTCGAGGTGGCGGATTGCTACCTGTGAGCTCCGGGGCGAGAGAGCCCCGTTCGTAAGCTGCTCCGGTGCCCCTGGTCTGCTGGAGACCGTCTCCAGCAGACCAGGGGCACCGGGTGGGTTCCCACGCTTCTGAGGCTTTGCCAGAGCAAAGCCTCAGAAGTGCGGGAACCCGTCGTGGCTGCGGCTTCAGTCCCGGTGCCCGTGGTGCGGCTCTGCTCCCCGTGTCCCTGGTCTGCTGGGGGGGGCGCAGGCGCAGCTAGTGTG